AAACGTCAGCCTCTCTGCTCCTATGATGCTGCTTGGCCTGCTGTGTTCATCCAGCCCTGCACCTTGTTGTCTCGGATTCTCCAGCATCTGCAGTTCCTACTATCTCATATTAATGAACAGCCTCTTTTCCTTTGCCCACTATGGTCAGGGTGAACAGGCTTTCTCTGTAAATGTGTCCTACAAAATTTACATTGTGCACTGTTGAACTGAGCTGTGTTGAAATGGAAATGTGGGAATACTCGGTTTACTATGCAAAATATCTGTACACAAACCAACTGAGCTGAAAAAAAGAAATGGATTCATCCAGTCAACCCGAAGCCCTAGGGTTGGAAACTCTCTGCATTGCTTGGTCATTACTTTTTTTTTCTGTTAAATGCTGTTAATGTTTCCTGGCGCTGAACGAGATGTGCACTAACAGAATCTGTAAATAATGATCGAGCTCAGAATTGGTGAGCAGATTCTTGTGTCCCGTCAGCCTGCTGAACATCTCATGTTCATAAAACAAATGCTTCTGGCATCACTTAAGTCAACAGTTTTGTTTTAGAAAGATCTATTTTTGAAGCTTTTGAAATAGTTGTTATTACGTAGTCATCTTTTATGTAAAGAGAAAGGCCAATAAATTGACACTGTTTGTAATTGGCGTTGAGTTCTTTCTATCTATCAGTTATCAAGGAGAATGTGAAGATTCCTGTCAGTTCATCATTGGAAGATGGAGAAGTGTTCACTTCAGGAGAATATTTTTCACTTCCAACCAATCTGATCAAGTTCATGGCTGAGAGACTTTTGTGTGGCCTCCAGGAGCAGATACATCAGATCTATTCACCCAGTAATGGCAATCTCCATTTCAAAGAATATGTGTCATCACTGCTGTCCAACTCCCCACCAATCCACTTCCTGGATGCTCCCTTCCCTCTCCAGGGTTAGTGCTAGCTGCTTGGCTGATGTATTTCGAACTTAAACTTGTTTCTTGCATGGTTAGGAACTTAGATGTTCTGCCCATCCGCAAGATTAAATTGTTTAAATAGCATATTTAAGTGTTTGATCTTTGTCCCTGGAAGGCAGACAAGGCTGCAGTTAATGTCTGTCCATTGCTGTCCTGAGAATGACATTTTGAATTTGTCCCTTCTTCATGCTTTATTCTGTCATACGGGCGAGACTTGCAAGGGAAGCATTTAATGCCCATCACTGATTGCCCCTTGAACCGAGTTCCTGACTGAGTTGTCATGGTAACCATTACTGTCACTAGATTTTATTTATTTACTTGTCACATGTACTAAGTGTAGGAATACATAAGTACAGCGAAAAGTGCACAAAGTCGCCATTCACTGGCACCCACTTGGTTACAAAAACCAGAATTAAACGACTTAACAGAGTCAAAAGATAAGCAAGTGAAAAAAAGTCCAGAGCTCAGAGTCACAAACCCCATCTCCATAATGGTACAGGCACTGCACCAATCACTACACCGCTGTCACCACCACCATGCAAAAGGCTGGGTCTCGCTAGCGAACCGGCCCACACTCGATCAGCCGTCGGGATAGTCAACATGGCTTTGTGTGTGGGAAATCATGTCTCACTAACTTGATTGAGTTTTTTGAAGACATAACGAAGAGGATTGGTGAGGGAAGAGCAGTGGATGTGATCTATGTGGACTTCAGTAAGGGTGTTTGATAAGGTTCCTCATGGTAGACTAGTTAGCAAGGTTAGATCACATGGAATACTGGGAGAACTAACTATTTGGATCCAGAACTAACTCAAAGATAGAAGATAGAGGATGGTGGTGGAGGGTTGCTTTTAAGACTGAAGGCCATAAGTATTGGTGCTGGATCCACTGCTTTTTGTCACTCATATAAATGATTTGGATGTGAATATAGGAGGTACAGTTAGTAAGTTTGCAGATGATACTAAAATTGGAGGTGTAGTGGACAGTGAAGAAGGTTAACTCAAGAGTACAACGTGATCTTGATAAGAGAGGGCAACGGGCCAAGGAGTGGCAGATGGACTTTAATTTAGATAAATGCGAGGTGCTGCATTTTCAAAAGGCAAATCAGGGCAGGACTTAAAACACTAAATGGTGAGGTCCTGGGGAGTCTTGTTGGACAGAGAGACCTTGGACTATGGGTTCATAGTTCGTTGAAAGTGGAGTCGCAGGTATATAGGATAGTGCAAAAGGCGTCTGGTATGCTTGCCTTTATTGGTCAGTGCATTGAGTATAGGAGTTGGGAGGTCATGTTGTGGCTGTACAGGGCATTGGTTTGGCCACATTTGGAGTATTGTGTGCAGTTCTGGTCTGCCTCCTATAGGATGTTGTGAAACTAGGAAGAGTTCAGAAAAGATTTATGAGGATGTTCCAGGCTTGGAGGGTTTGAGCTATAGGGAGAGGTTGAATAGGCTGGGGCTATTTTCCCTGGAGCATCGGAGGTTGAGGAGTGACCTTATATAGGTTTATAAAATCATGAGTGGCACGGATAGGGTAAGTAGGCAAGGTCTTTTGCCCAGGGCCGGGGAGTCCTAAACTAGGAGGCATAGGTTTAAGGTGAGGGGGGAAGATATAAAAGGGATTTAAGGGAGAACGTTTTCATTCAAGGGTGGTGCATGTTTGGAATGAGCTGCCAGAGGAAGTGATGGAGGCTGGTATGATTACAATATTGAAAAGGCAACTGGATGGGTATATGAATAGGAAGGGTTTAGAGGGATATGGGCCAAATGCAGGCAAATGGAACTAGATTCATATAGGATATCAGGTCGGCATGGATGAGTTGGACCAAAGAGTCTGTTTCCGGGCTGTCCATCTCTATGACTCTAAATGGCATTAAGAGTCTAATGATGACCATGAAATGTAGGTCTTAATTGCCGTCTGAAATGGCCTAGCAAACTCCTCAGTTCAAGCATGAACAACAAGTGCTGGCCTTGTCCACAACCCATGACAGAATGAGGAAATAGTCGAAAAAAAAATTGGCAGCAACAAAATAAATGTTTTCTGGTTTTACTAAAACTCACACACCAGTACAGATTTATGCAATAGGTGCAGCATTTTAAGTCAATTAATGTCACTGTGCACATTCTAAAAGACACAACAGCCAATGGCTTTCCTTATTATTTATTGCCAAGTTGATTGATTTTCTGCAATCCTTCCCGGTTATTAATGGTCTTGTGTATGGTGATGAGAAAGGGAAAAGCTGAGGGTAGCTCCACACGCCGACTGAGTTTCTGGTGCCCCCAGTGCAGACACTGTAGCTTATCTGCCAAATCCTTCCTCCCAGCCCTCTCCAGAGCATCCTGCAGCATCTTTGTTTTGTTCACCTTGTTCCAGGATTTCTCATACCTGAACGAAAGGAAAAAAATTTAATCAAACCAGAATCTGTTTCTTAAGAACAGGTTGCATTTTTGCATTATTTTAAACTGCCATAGACCAACAAGAGTGACTATGAAATTATATTTAATTTTTGCTATTTGGCGTCTCACATTCCTGTTTCTTCTGCACTTTGACCAATAGGGCTGTGCATAGCTCACTGATCTCTGCAGATTGTGATCTTCAGTCCTGAGAACTGGGCACAGAAGTTAAGTGAACAACTTGGATGAACCAGAGAAATATTGGAGCAAAATTAAGACATTCAGCCACTCAAGCCTTCACCACTGTTCTAGATCATGGCTTATCATCTACTTCAATGCCATTTTCCCATTCTATCCCCTTAATCATTGATGTCATTAGTATCTAGAAATCTATCAATCTCTGTCTTGAATTTTTTTTAAAATTCATTCATGGAATGTGAGTGGCTCTGGCTAGGCTAGCATTTATTGCCCATCTGCCAGAGGGCAATTAAGAGTCAACCACATTGCTGTGGGTCTGGAGTCACATGTTGCCCAGACCAGGTAAGGATGGTAGCTTCCTTCCCTAAAGGACATTAGTGAATCAGATGGGTTTTTCCAACAATTTACAATGGATTTATGACCATCATTAGACTCTTAATTTCAGTTTTTTTTTATTGAATTCAAATTCCACCATCTGCCGTGGCGGGATTTGAACCCGGGTTCCCAGAACATTAACTGAGTTTCTGGATTAATACTCTAGCGATAATACCATCTTCTGTTCTCTCCAGCCTATTCCACCAAACAAAGAGACCTTCAAGTGCAGGTCCATAGTTCCTTGAAAGTAGAGTTACAGGTATACAGGGTATTGAAGAAGGCATTTGGTATGCTTTCCTTTGTTGGTCAGTGCATTGGGCAGAAGAGTTGGGAGGTCATGTTGTGGCTGTACAGGACATTGGTTAGGCCACTTTTGGAATACTGCTTTCAATTCTGGTCGCCCTGCTATAGGAAAAATGTGAAACTTGAAAGGGTTCAGAAAAGATTTACAAGGATGTTGCCAAGGTTGGAGTGTTTGAGTTATAGGGAGGGGCTGCATAGGCTGGGATTATTTTCCCTGGAATGTTGGAGGCTGAGGGGTGACCTTATAGAGGTTTACAAAATTATGAGTGGCATGGATAGGGTGAATAATCAAGATCTTTTCCCCTGGGTAGGGGAAGTCCAAAACTGAGACGGCATAGGTTTAAGGTGAGAGAGGTAAGATTTAAAAGGGACCTAATGAGCAACATTTTCATGCAGAGGATGGTGAGTGTATGGATGAAGAGGAAGTGGTGGAGGCTGGTACAATTACATTTAAAAGGCATCTGAATGGGTATATGAATATGAATGGTTTAGAGGGATATGGTCCAAATGCTTGCAAAAGGGACTAGATTAGTTTAGGATATCTGTCCAGAGACAGTATGTTCCTGTTAGGATAAAGGGCAAAGCTGGTAGGTGTAGGAAATGCTGGATGACTAGAGAAATTCATGTTTTGGTCAAGTATAGATAGCAGAGATCGAGTGAATCCCTAGAACAGTATAAAGGCAGTAAGAATATACTTAAGAGGAAAATCAGGAGGGCAAAAAGGGGACATGAGATAGCTTTGGCAAATAGGGTTAAGTACAATCCAAAGCGATTCTACAAATACATTAAGGACAAAAGAGTAACTAGGGAGAGAATAAGGCCCCTTAAAAATCAGCAAGGCCACGTATGTGTGGAACCACAGGAGATGGGGAGACACTAAATGAGTATTTTGCATCAATGTTTACTGTGACAAGGACATGGAGGATAGAGAAGGTGGGGAAATAAATAGCAACATCTTGAAAAATGTCCATGTTATAAAGGAGGAGGTGCTGGACGTCTTAAAATGAATAAAGGTAGATAAATCCCTGGAACCTGATCAGGTGTACCCTAGAACTCTGTGGGAAGTGAGGGAAGTGATTGCTGGGCTCCTTGCTGAGATATTTGTATCATCGATAGTCATAGGTGAGGTGCCGGAAGTTTGGAGGTTGGCTAATGTTGTGCCATTATTTAGGAAAGTTGGTAAGGAGAAGCCAGGGATCTATAGACCAGTGAGCCCGACATCATGGTGGGCGTATTTCTGGAGGAAATCCAGAGGGACAGGAGTTACATGTGTTTCAAAAGGCAAGGACTGATTAGGGATAGTCAACACGGCATTGTGCGTGGGAAATTGTGTCTCACTAACTTGATTGAATTTTTTGAAAAAGTAATGAAGAGGACTGATGAAGGCAGAACAGTGGATGTGATCTATATGCAGCTCAGTAAGGCATTTGACAAGGTTCCTTATGGCAGACTGGTTAGCAAGGTTAGATCACACGGAATACAGGGAGAACTCTCGCCATTTGGATACAGAACCGGCTCAAAGACAGAGGGTGGTGGTGGAGGGTTGCTTTTCAGACTGGAGGCCTGTGACCAGCGGTGAGCCACAAGTATCAGTGCTGGGTTCATTGTTTTTTGTCATTTCTATAAGTGATTTGGATGTGAACATAATAGGTATGGTTAGTAAGTTTGCGGATGACACCAAGATTGGAGGTGTAGTGAACAGCGAAGAAGGTTAACTCAGAGTACAATGGATCCTTGATCAGATGGACCAATGGGCTGAGGAGTGGCGGATGGAGTTTAATTTAGATAAATGTGAGGTGCTGCATTTTGGAAACATAAATCAGGGCAGGACTTATACATTTAATAGTAAGGTCCTGGGAATGTTGCTGAACAAAGAGACCTTGGAGTGCAGGTTCATAGTTCCTTGAAAGTGGAGTCACAGGTAGACAGGTTAATGATGAAGGCGTTTGGTATGCTTGCCTTTTTTGGTCTGTGCATTGAGTATAGGAGTTGGGGAGATCATGTTGTGGCTGTGCAGGACATTGGTTTGGCCATTTTTGGACTACTGCATGCAATTCTGGTCTCCCAGCCATAGGAAGGATGTTGTGAAACTTGAAAGGGTTCAGAAAAGATTTACAAGGGTGTTGCCAGCGTTGGAGTGTTTGAGCTATAGGGAGAGGCTGAATAGGCTGGGGCTATTTTCCCTGGAGCATTGGAGGCTGAAGGGTGACCTTATAGAAGTTCATAAAATTATGAGGGGCATGGATAGGGTGAATAGACAAGGTCTTTTCCCCTGGTGGAGGAGTCCAAAACTAGAAGGCATAGGCTTAAGGTAAGATGGGAAAGATATAAAAGTGACCTGTAGACAAAGGGGGTGGCCATGGGTACCTGCATGGGCCCAAGCTATGCCTGCCTCTTTGTAGGTTACGTGGAACAATCCCTCTTCCGCAGCTACACTGGCCCATCCCCCACCTCTTCCTCCGCTATATCGATGGCTGTTTCGGCGCCGCCTCGTGCTCCTACAAGGAGCTTGAACAGTTCATCCACTTTACTAACACCTTCCACCCCAACGTTAAATTCACCTGGACCATCTCTGATACCTCTGTCTCCTTCCTGGTCCTTTCTGTTTCCATCTCTGGCAACCACCTAGAAACCGATGTCCATTTCAAGCCTCCCGACTCCCACAGCTACCTAGAATACACCTCCTCTCACCCGTCTTCCTGCAAGAATGCCATCCCCTATTCCCAATTCCTTCACCTCTGCCGCATCTGCTCCCAAGATGAGGCATTCCACTCCCGGACATCCCAGATGTCCTTGTTTTTCAAGGACCACAATTTCCCCTCCGCAGTGTTCGAAAATGCCCTCGACTGCATCTCTCACGTTTCCCGCAACTCATCCCTCACACCCCCTCCCCGCAATAACAACAAAGACAGAATTCCCCTCATCCTCACGTACCACCCCACCAACCTTTGGATTCAACGCATCATCCTCCGCCACTTCCGCCACCTGCCATCTGACCCGACTACCAGGGACATTTTTCCCTCCCCACCTTTATCTGCCTTCCGGAGGGACCGCTCTCTCCGTGACTTCCTCGTTTGCTCCACACTCCCCACTAGCCCCACCACCCCGGCACTTTTCCCTGCAACTACAGGAAGTGCTACACCTGCCCCTATACCTCCCCCGTCACCCCCATCCCAGGCCCCAAGAAAACCTTCCACATTAAACAGATGTTCACCTGCACATCTGCTAATGTGGTATATTGTATCCGCTTTTCCTGATGTGGCCTCCTCTACATTGGGGAAACCAAGCAAAGGCTCGGAGACCGCTTTGTGGAGCACCTACGTTTGGTTCGTGACAAACGACTACACCTCCCAGTCGCAAACCATTTCAACTCCCCCTCCCATTCCTTGGATGACATGTCCATCCTAGGCCTCCTCCAGTGCCACAACGATGCCACCCGAAGGCTGGAGGAACAGCACCTCATATTTCGCTTGGGAATCCTGCAGGCCAATAGTCTCAATGTGGACTTCATAAGCTTCAAAATCTCCCCAACCCCGACCTCATCCCAAGACCAGCCCAGCTTGTCCGCGCCTCCTTGACCTGTCCGTCTTTTCTCCCACCAATCTGCTCCTTCCCACCTCAATGACCAACACCCCCACCTCCACCTCCTACCTACCAGCCTCATCCCCGCCTCCTTGACCTGTCCGTCTTCTCTCCACCTATGTGCTCCTCTATCCACCTTCTATCACCGCCTCCCCCTCTATTTATTTCAGAATCTCCTTCCCCTCTCCCATTTCTGAAGAAGGGTCCATACCCAAAACGTCAGCTTTCCTGCTCCTCTGACGCTGCCTGGCCTGCTGTGTTCATCCAGCTCTACACCTTGTTTTCAAAGAAGAAATTGGAATAATTTTACTGGAAAACTTAACAGAATAACAGATTATTTAACTACTAAGCAGTAACTGTTCCATATAGTAACACATTGTTCCGAATTTAGAAAAAAAAACCCAAGGCCTCACAAGCTCTTTACTTTATGGGCTTTGGAGCAGACTGCTGTGGACCCCTCTTTCTCCACCTTTCTTCATTTAAAAAAAGGACCAAATATACCTCTTAAAGCCATAGTATCGTCACAAATGGTCAGCAGTCAAGTGAGTGCGAATCAAGACAATAAAGAGCAATAATCACACTTCAGAAGTACTACATTGAAGCGATGTGAAGTCTTGACTTCATGATAACTACAATAAGTCAGCATCTAGTTACCAGGCTGCGCCAGTTGCCCAAAGCTCTGGGGACCTGGTGACAATGACAGAATGTTGAGATGGTCACTACTCTGCTAACTCAGAAGCATTCGGATATAACACGAGAAACACAAAACCTCAAAGCAGACTTGACGTAGTGATGAAACTTTTGACGTACCAGCTCTCTAGCATTTTCCTTGCTTGCACCTTTTTCTCCAGTGAGGCTCGATGGAAGTGGCTGATCTCCGTCCTGCTGAAGCCCAGTTCAGAGGCTACAATGGTCCATTGAAAGCCCAGGTCTTTGGCCAGTTCCTGGACAGACTTAAGGTTGATCACTGCATCCTGACTCAGGAATCAGAGATTAGAACCACTCCAGTAACAACATACAGTACAAAAGGTGCCAGTAGTACCTGTTACAGCCATATCGAAAGTGCAACCATCAGTGAACGAGGCTTTAGGGAATGCCAACAGAATGGCAGGCTGAAGGGAAGTGAGTATGGTGAATCTGGATCTGAGACAAAATGCTAGGGATAGAGGACAAGCAACAGTGGAAACACTCAATCACGTGGACTGTGAGCTGTGGGTTAGTGACTGAATAACGTCAACATTCAAAAATACTGCTTCCCAAACTTTATTCCAGTGGACCCATATTAAGGCTTGCAAATTGTCATGACCCCTCAGTGAGAACTGGAAGAGCAGACGAGGGGCCCTGTTAGAGCGGGAGCCTGTTACAGCAGGGGTATAGCGGTTACAACTCGGTCAGATTTCCATAATGGCCGTAGCTGCCTCAGGGCTCTGGACCCCAATCTTTACTTGGGGCCTGAACTTCACTTTGGGAAGTCCTGGATTAGATCAGTGACTGAAGGAGGGTGACGCCCCAGTCCTATACCCTGCCCTGCTCACAGCCTCCCATACACTTCGCCTCCGCCTCTCTACCCTGCCCCCATCACCACTCTTCTGCTACATTACCCTTATCCTCATAGAAACCTACAAAATTCTAATGGGATTAAATGGGCTAAATGCAGGAAGGATGTTCCTGATGACCAGAGAGTTGAGAACCAAAGGTCACCATCTAAAGACACAGAGTAGGCCATTTACGACCAAGATGAGGAGAAATATGATCATCCAGACAGTGGTGAACCTGTTGAATTCTCTGCCACAGAGAGCGGTTGAGGCCAAAACACTGAATGTCTTCAACCTAGAGTTAGATACAGTTCTTTGGGCTAAGGGGATCGAAGAGCATGGGGCAAAAGGGTGAGCAGAGTACTGAGTTGGAAGATCAGCCGGGATCATACTGAATGGTGGAGCTGGCTCAAAGGGCCGAAGGCCTACTCCTGCTCCTGTTTCTATGTTTCAACCTGTTCCAGTCAACTCCTTCCTCACTGTCCCCACTCCCAGTGTCCACTCAAGACACACTACCCTTGGTTACCTCACTCCCATTTCCTGTTGGTGCCCATTCTGTTCGTGATCGCTGGCCCTGCCGATCACTTAACCAGCTTCCTCTCAGTCACTATTCCTCCCCCTCTCAGTCACTCCCCTTCCCAATCACAGCCTCTATCTGCCTTCCAAAGGCTCCCCAAACGCCTTCCAATCACCACCCCTCTGCCTCCCTCCCCGAAATGGAAATTGTAGAAATTTGTGAGGAGACGATTTCAGGCAGTCATCCTCTGATAAAATAAGCAGTTTGCCAGAATAAAGCGTCAGCAGAGAAGTGTGAAATGATGTATTTTGGAGGAAAGAACATGGAGAGGCAAACAAAAGTAAACTGTGAAATTTGAAAGAGACCTTGGGGTGGATGATCGAGCAGCAGAACATGTTACAAAGGATTTCATAAAAGCATAGAGGATCCCTTGCTACATATATTGAGGTGTGGTGCATTTAAACAAAGCAGAGGGGGTGAGGGTACAGAGAGTGGATGGTGGTTGGGAGGCTCTTTGGAGGGTTTGTGCAGACTCGATGGGCTGAATGGACTCTATGCACTTAGGGATTCTGTGATTCTAAAGCTTCACGAATCATCATAGAGTCACACAGTAATACAGCATGGAAACAGACCCTTCAGTCCAACCAATCCATGCTGACCATAATCCCAAACTAAACTAGTCCCACCGGCCTGCATTTGGCCCATATCCCTTCAAACATTTCTTATCATGCACTTATCCAAATGTCTTTTAAATGCTGTAACCGTACCTGCATCCACTACTTTCTCTGTGAACCACTCTCTGTGTAAAAACAAAATGCCTCGATATCTTTTTTAAATCTCTCTCCTCTCACCTTAAAAATATGCCTCCGGATTTGAAATGCCCAGCCTGGGAAAAGACACCTACCATTCACCTTATCTATACCCCTCATTATTTTATAAACCTCTCTAAGGTCACCTCTCAACCTCAGGTGAAACTTAGCTGGAGGACTGTAATTCTGGGCGCTGCACTTTAGGAAGGATATCATTGTCACTAATTTGTAAAGTAGGTGAAGATTTACTGTGCCCTCCCAGCTGTCGGTATTGCTGCTAACTTTGCTGGCCTGCTCGGTATCAAAAGGAAGCAGCAATAAAAGCTGTAAGAATAACCTGAGACTGGAGTATTGAGTTTGTTTGCTTATCTCAAGTTTGTATTGCTACATACTATCCAACTGAATGTGGCACAAATGACCGATCAGAGGAATGGGACCTGAAATTATGCTGCTGAACCTCCAGGGTACCTACTTTGTCATGTGCTTTGTATGGCCGTCTATTGCTGGTTACACTTTTCTAAGAGCATCAGATCTAGAAATCAATACCAAGTCCTGAGATTCTCAATTGTTGTGATCGGACAGCAAAAATGACAATTGTATCTAAACCAAAGACTGTTTCTCTGTCAGGAGGTCCACAGTGAATGCCTGAAAATGTAGGTGAATTCTCCCTGTTCTCAGATTAATGTCTGAGCCAGAGTTTCTGCAGTGTCCTTGGATAAAGGACTTTAACTTATGAAGTTTGCACAGTTTAGGCCCACACCCATTAGAAGAACGAGGGAGGATCTTTATGAAACACGAGTTCTCCAGAGGACTGGATGGTGTGGAACGAAGACAGAAATTGCTGGTAAATCTCAGCAGGTCTGGCAGGCATCTGTGCAGAGAAAGTTAAGTTAGAAAGCAGAAGGAGCCTTCTCTTCTGAAGAAGGGGCACTGGACTCGAAATGTTAATTCTGCTTTCTCCCCACAAATGCTGCCAGACCTGCTGAATTTTCCCAACAATTTCTGTTTTTGTGTCGGGATGGACAAGTTGGGCCGAAGGACCTATTCGGGTGCTGTATGAGTAGGAAGATTGTGGTGAGACTGCGGAATTGATTTACTTCAGTTCAACAGACAGTAGGCAATCTGGAATTTATCCCCTTTGGGCAGACAGAGGATATTTTATTATATTGCACTTTAAGAAGGATTTTGGTTGATTGAGTCAGACACTGTTAGCACTGGGTGGGGGAATCACAAGCAGGTTTAAGAGGATTCGCAAAAGAACTGTGTGTTTATGCTGTTCTTTTTTACATTCTGGAATACACTCCCTGGAAGCAGATTCAAGAACAACTTCCTTAAGGGCAATTTTACAGGGCTCTGAGGGAACAGCAAGGACAATGGGATGAAGAGGATGCTTCTTTGAAGGAGCCAGCACAAATGCAGTGATCCAGAAGGCCTCTCTCTCTTTCTCTCTGATGGAGGATTCGATGAAAGCACTGTTCCCAGACACTGACACAGAAGCTGAACTTTGAAGCTTCGAAAAGGCCTTCCAAAATATGGGCCACCTTATACTCTGGTTACACAAGCGAACCACTAGTGTGGGTGCTTGCCATTTTGAAACGACATTGGCAAAGGGGGTGGGGTGTATTAAACCTACAAACATCTTTGCAGCACGGCCCCTATTTCCTAGTGATCTTTTGCACCCTGTCGTAAGATACCCAGAAGTAACACATCCAGTGAAAAACGGAGACTGTGTACATAGTGTGTCTATACAGCCAAACATGGCTGAATGGAGTGAGGGGGTGTGGTGGATGATCAACTCACATGCTGAGTACAAAAATATCTTGTACAGAGGGTTGACTTATATGCTGCAATTTACAATGTACTATACGCATCAGTCACTGTCTCTGAAATGAAACAGGGTGGCTGGAACATGCATAGAACATAAACACTGACACAGAACAAATGAGCTGATGGTCTTTTCTGTGCCGTAAAATGCAATGTAATTTCGCTCAACATTTGACCATTTTAGTAATTCATACTTGCCTCCTGTGTTTGGCAGGTCATGTTTATTCGTGATTGGAGTCGGTAGATACTTGGGACTCTCCTTATTGTTGATCCTGTTGAGAACTGAGTATTGAGATGAAAGTACGATTTACACAGTATAACATGTAGCCACATATTTCACCATTGAATGATCACAATATAAAACACCAAGGCGAACCAACCTCTACCCTGCTTCGCTTGAATGGTTCTCGAGGGTGAACCCTGAAACACTTCTCCTTTCCAAATGGGAGAAATCCGGGAGGGAATTCAGTCAAATGACAGGAATTCACTGTTGCTATGCTGTAACTAAAACATAACAGTTCTGACCACGTTGTTAAAAATTAAATGTGTTCTGCTTCACAAGGCAGCCATTCTTCAACAGATCGGAGCGGTGGGTGCTAAGTCAATGTGTGACTCAAACAACCCAGACTAAGAGAGCACAACTCAAAAAATTTGAATATCAAATGCAACGACAAGGGTTCCTGAGCATTGAACATGGTGGGTAGATGTGTAGAGCTTTCACACACCACAAGTGTGCTGCTTGCCATATTGGCTTGGGCTACTCTGCATACTGGAGGACGCTTTGTCGATAGACGGTGCATGACTCACTGATAACCTCACTCAGCAACTTATGGAACTAAAGCAAGCAGTCAAGAAAGGACTGGGCAGTGCTGAGTAGCTCACTCATTCCATCCAAATTAGCTGCTGCTTTCATATTTGAGACTGTTGACTTGGCTTTGGTCCTTTTGCGAACCATCTTCTAACTCTTCAAAAACTTATTTCCAACAGCTGAGAAGATTTCTCCAGGGTTTTGGTCTGTTTTCACAACAAGGCACTCTGATAGCACTGCCACCAAGCTGAGGCATTTGGGAGGAACAAGGAAGGCAGGAGAGGGCAGCCTACAGCTGGGGAAGAGGGAGGACGAAGAGGAGGAGTGTTCAAGAGGATAGTCAGTGAGTCTTCAAGGGGCATATCGCATTCCTCAACACTCCGAGGAGCAGTGCATGAGGTTCTTAGGTTTCCCTAAGAAGATTATCAGTGAGCCAGGTCACTGCCTCGGGCTGTCTAAGGTCATCTTGCTTCTTCACTTTTACACCATTGATGCCTGTCGTCCAGTAGTGGGTGACATCTGTGACATATCACAGTTCCCAGTTCACTGGTGGTTCAGGGAGGATTCTGAGGCTCTCTACACTGCAGAGAACACCTACATCTCCGACACTGTGACAGAATGAAGCATTCCCACACGTTAAAGGTTTCCCCAGAGTGCAAAGTGATATAAACTGTAGCCAGATTACCCAGACATAGCACTCCATACCAATCTGACAGATTTATCAATTGTAGAGGATTCCAGTCCCTCAATGCACAGCCATAGTTGTATATGTAGTAGGTCTCTGCCCAAAATCCTGGGATTTGCCCCTTCCTCCTCAACAAGGTTATTGTGCTGCCTTGATTCTCACCAGGCTCTCTGCTCACATAATACTGTTAGGGACCAGACCGGCCTCTCCCGAAATATATTGTAGAGATAGCCTAGACCACAACTGTTTTTGTTTTAAAGGCAAGTGTAAGACACTGTGTTCCAGATATGATTGGATTGGTCCACCATTAAGCTTGAATCAAAACACACTTTATTCTTGATTGATTGATTGATTGATTGATTTTGTTGTCACGTGTACCGAAATACAGTGAAAAGCTCTGTTTACGTGCGGTACACAAGCAACTAAAATGTAACAAATTGAAGAATTGCTACAACTTTATGCTATTGACCTAATTAACAAGACAATGTATTATTGAACCACTAATCATCAACTGTTCCAACATAGGCAACATCCCATAAACAGAACCTTTAGCAAAATGCAATGCAGCAAAACAGTTATTATTCTCAAGTGCTGACTCTCCTGTCCAGTAGAAATACTGAAAGAAACAATCCGCTGCTTTTGATTTCTAAGAGGAAAAGTCTCTTTCTAAGTCTTCAGTTTAGCAGCAGAGAGAACTCTAGGCATCTGTTCCAGCCACTAAGTAATTAAAAAAAACTCAGTGAAAGCAAAACCAAAGTCCTTAGGGTCTGAATGAGCCTGATCCCACGCACTCATGATTATTTTGTTCTACTCTTAAAAAATACAGCCAGGATGAAACCCAAAGCTATTTATAAACCGCCTACTGAGAGGAAACACCTCAACAGCACTGTGACAAAACCCCTCTGCAACAGAAACAGGACAGAACACATCTCTTATACGCTTAATGTCATCACAATACATGCTGAGTACCAAAGGATAGCCTTTTCAAACTTGAATCTTCATTTATGTCGCAAGCCCAGCCACTGCTTAAAGCCTAGGTCCAGTGTCAGAAGTCTTTAAGAAAATAATTGCTGTGGTCAGGCATTTTTGGACCTTCCTCTGCCAAAAGTTTTGCCTTTCATCCGAGTGGTTTCATATCCACAGATCCCTGAAGGTAGCAAAGCACATAGATAAATTGGTTAAGAAGGTGTATGGAATACTTGCCTTTATTAGCAGAGGCCCAGAATACAACAGCAAGGACGTTATGCTGGACCGGCATAAAATGCTAGTTAGGTCCTAACTGGAGTATTGTGTGCAGTTCTAGGTACCACATCAAAGGAAGGATGTGATTGCACTAAAGAGGGCAAAGAGAAGATTCACGAGATGCTGCCGGGGTGGGAAGGTCTGAAATATGAGGAAAGATTGGGTTAGAATCACAGAGTCATAGAGATGTACAGCGCGGAAACAAACCCTTCGGTCCAACTCGGCTGTGCCGATCAGATATCCTATGTAAACCTAGCCCCATTTGCCAGCGTCTGGCCCATATCCCTGTAAACCCTTCCTATTCATATACCCATCCAGATGTCTTTTAAATGTTGTAATCGTACCAGCCTCCGCCACTTCCTCTGGCAGCTCATTTCATATGCGCACCACCCTCTGTGTGAAAAAGTTGCCCGTTAGGTCCCTGGAGCAGCATGAACTGTCCAAGTGACCTTCACCTTATTTAGTTTTCCTATCGATAAAGCACCGCTAAACCTACAATCCTTCTCATGGCTATCAAATGGTCCTCATCTTACTGTGAATGTGAAAAGTTAACAAACACCACATCCAAAACAAAATATCCAGTTTACAGGATTCAACATCTATTGCCTTCGGCCAAAATAAAAACTCTCCCACATCGACTTTCCCGCTCCTCTGAAGCTGCCTGGCCTGTTGCGTTCCTCCAGCTCCACACTGTGTTATCTCTGACTGCGGCATCTGCAGTCCTTACTATCTCCGACCCTTTCGATTTTCATTGACTGCAAAGGTAAGCATTCTTCAGTTCTGATCAGTGGATGTTACAGAAATCTACAGAGGTGATGCCAAATAAAATAACAGTAAAGAAGAATGATTTGCAAGCCTTTTCTTTTGAAGATGGTGGTGTTAATGGGGAAAGTTTTGTCCATCCATAATCAGCCTCGAAAAGGTAGTGTCGAGCTGCAGTCCTGGATAGACCCACGTGTTGTGAAGAAGGGTGAGCACCCACCACCAACGAAGCCGACATGCGCAGTTCGCTGCCTCCCGGTGACGTAAGAGCAGCCCGTGCGGTCGCGCGATCGCGTCATCGCCGCCGGCCGGAGGCCCCGTGACGTCACAAACCGTGCCCGTGCCGCTGACGTCACCGCGCCTGGGGCAACATGGCGGCAGGTTCGGACTGACAGCCTGTGGGTGAGAGAGACAGCGAGCCCGCCTCCGTCTCCTGTCGCCGAGCGAACCACGCTCACGATTCACACACACTCTCTCTGAAGGAAGAAGTCGGAAAATACGAAATCGGGCACGGAGGCAAAGTGACTGGGTGAGTGACTGACTGACCACTGAGGGAGTGCAGCACGGGGCCGTGGGGACTGGCTGGATGTTTTGGGGGATGAAGAGAGGAGTTTAATCTGGAAGAGAGCTGCTGTGAGGAATATCTGGCTCGGCCGTACGAGGCTTCGAGGGGCATGATGGATGTCGATGACATCCCTGAGCAAGTCACAGTTGTATAAGCTCCCAACCAGAGCCACGGGTGGGATTTTCGGCGGAACTGTCATATTGCTTACCATTAGATAAGTCCGTCACAGCCCAAATGCCCCCCCCCCCGCGGTGATATTGTGCTGGACATGGTCTGAGCAAGCTCAAGTGAGACTTGGGTCTCTCAGGGACAGGTCTAGGATTGTAACCCATAAATTGGGGGGGATCTTGTGTGATTGCACATCCACAGAAATCTCCAGGCACTTAATGGAGTTTAGACTAAGGTATCACAGTGAATTTTACTTATTGAAAAATAGAATGGTTTTGTCAGTTGCTACAACTATTCTGAAAAGGGAGGATTTATCCATGAGTGATTTGTAACAGTTAACCGTTGTCGAGACCAGCATATTAGCAGAGAAGTTGGAGTTGAAAGCAGGAGCTAAGAAAACAGACCGTTGATTTCTGAAGAAGGGTCTAGGCCCGAAACGTCAGCTTTCCTGCTCCTCTGATGCTGTTTGGCCTGCTGTGTTCGTCCAGCTTTACACCTTGTTATCTCAGATTCTGCAGTTCCTACTATCTCTGAATCAGTTGATTTAATAGCACAGCATCAGGAATTTTTAAGAACTGGGGTACCTAACACACAAAGATCACAGATAGCAAGGTGTAGAGCTGGATGAACACAGCAGGCCAAGCAGCATCAGA